CGGCGGCAGTGCCTGAGTTAAACATCACACGTGAATTCAGGCAAAAAAGGTAAAGCAAGGGACGGAAGAGTGGCAGTGTATGAAAACAGGCCATTTTCAGATGCTGTTTCTCTCGTTGTTCTGCATGCGGCTGCGTTCTCGGAAGAAGCAATCCATGGTCTCACTACACTTCTGCGGTTCTGCACGCCTTCCGGACGACTTGGTCTGTTTAAATTGCAGCTTAATCTCTAGATCCTTTTTTCCCTGGACCGGCCCCACTGGTGGTTAGTGTTCCTACAGGTTCGAAATCTGTCATGGTAACCCCTGCCTTCCTTTACCATGTAGTGGATGACTTTTTCAACAGCGGGACGGTTTTCGCAGTGTACGAAATCATCCAGAAACCGAAAGCCTCATCCCAAGCGACCAGAGCTGGAAGTTGTGGTAGTGCTGCGCGTTTCAGTTTGACGACTCGGCCAATGCGATTTAGCCCAGGAGACTGAGGCAGGCAAGGGCCGGGTGAGCGCAACCCGACAGTCGCTCAGCAAGGGCAGTTTGGGGGGTGTTTATAGGCTCTCCAGAACCTTATGCCCTTAACCCTGGAACCTCAGAAGCCATCAACGTTACCACCCGAAACCCTCAACCTTAAGCCGGAACCTTGAACACACCCTATGCCTATGAGCCCCAAACCACCCTAGTTAGCCGCTGCTGACAGTCTGCGGGGTGGGCTCGTTTCGGCGTCGAGCACTGGCGCTCCGTGTTTTGCTGGTTATTTAAAACAGGAATGTGGGGATTTCCCGAAATCGCGGTGCCCCCGACCATACCCCCAATGTGATATTCGGAGGCCCCCCACGAAGTTTGGTTTCGGGTTTCGCTTGTGGGGGGTGAGGGGCTGAGGGCTTCGACTACGAGGGATTTCGGGTTAAGGGCTTGGAGTTCGGCGATTCGGTGTAGGGGGTTTGAGGTTCATTCACGGTTTCGAAGTCGAAGCCCAGAGTGTCTTCACTTGGGTGGAGACCATCGGTCCGAAACCCCACAGCCACAAGAAAAGGCCCTAACCCTGAATCCGAAAACCCCTCAGCCCTAAACCCCTAAACCCTAAACCTTATACCCCTAAACCCTAAACCCTAAACCCTAAACCCTATACCCCTAAGCCCTAAACCCCTAAACCCAGTCTCAGGGCGTCCAAGAGCCGAGCATCTTCTACACACCATCCTCGATCTGACGACCCCGAATCCAACATACACCCGGTGTATATATATATATATATGTAGCTGTATGTATATATAGATATATGTAGCTGTATATTTATATATGTATATATATATAGATACAAATACATATAGAGCCACTATTTTCCTGTGGATGGTTTGGAGGTTTAGCTGAACCCCAAAAACCCCATTCTTTGGCAATCAAAGCCTGCAGCTCCAAAGTAATTGACACCATTCCCGCAATCGATACTTTCCAGGACTGGCCTGCCGTACTTCAGCGTCTTCCGATTGAACACGGAGATCATGCCCATTGCTTGCAAGATCACGGGGAGCCTGGCTTCTTCTACATCTAAGGAGTGTGCAATATAGGGATCGGAATATTTACAGTACTATAGTAGTATTCCCTTATGGCCCCTTTATAAATATACTATAAGAACCTATATTAGGCTTAAAGGGTTGAGGGTAATGAGCGCCTTCTTCCTGGGCCGGGGCCTGGCCTCGGGGCCTGGCTGGGACGAATGAGAGAGAACGCGGCGCTGAGCGTCACACGATTTGAAGGCTCAGAGGGTGTTGAAGATGCAGCCGTACTTTGATCTCTGTCTTGCTAAACTCGTATTGCAGAAGGTCCCTACATTCTTGGTGCGGCCCTGTTCCCACGCATGTGCTTGCGTGTCTTAATCCTGCCCTAACCCCAATATATGGGTTCAGGGTTGAGCGTTCAGTGACTACTGTGGAACTGCCCCATCACTGATGTGCCCCAAGGGCCATGCCCAAACGCACACGCAGAGTGGCATGGCACATGGCATTTTTCCAGCACCCATATGTTCAGCAGATGATCAAGAAAGGTAGGCACAGGACGTCATGCATCTGGGCTTTCAGGTTCGGCGCAGTGCAAGCAGACGACCACCCGACGCAGTGCTACGGGCGCTGAGCCAAGAAGATGCGCACGACGGTTTGCAGGAAGTACCCAAAGTCTTGTATCTACCTACTAGCCCCGGCACGCTCTCTGCTTAGCCTCTCTAGGTTGTCTCTGAAGGGAAGCATGATTTTTGGAGTTTTGTTCAGGCCGTGGTCAGGTTTCGCTTATGCTGCGGTGGACGGCGATGAAGAGCTCCCTCCATCCGCTCTGGGCTTGGCTAAGGCGGAACTTCGCGTCCCAGACCGTGCCTTTCCCGCCGGGCCAGGATCCGATGAAGAATCCCTATACCACGCCGCGGCCTCATGGTTTGGAGTTTAGGGTTTAGGGTTTAGGGTTTAGGAGTTAGGATTTCGGGTTTAGGGTTTAGGGTAGCACTAGGCTTCCTGGGTGTTTGCGGGGTGTGTATTTGGGTCTCTGCTTTCAGAGCTTCAGGGAGGTCTGGAGTTCTAGAGGTTTTTGTGTGCACGATGTCTTCAAGACCCTAGACCCTAGACCCTAAACCCTAAACCCTAAACCCTAACCCCTAAACCCTAAACCCTAAACCCTAAACCCCAAACCCTAAACCCTAAACCCTAAACCCTAAACCTTCCCTTCAGCTCAAGCCCCGGGGGGGCTACCAGATCTGGCAAGCACACCCCGGCCTTGCCCCACTTCCCCTAAAGCCCGAGGTTGACCCACGAGATGAGAAGAGGCCTTGCTTCTGGGCTCCGTCCCGGGTTGCTTTAAAACAAGTCTCGGGTTGTTTTAAAACAACTTGTTTTATAACAACCCGAGTCTAGGGCTTCAGATTTTGAGTTTGCTTCTGCCTGGAATGGGTTTTCTTGTCAGGCCTGGTATTTTGAGCTGAGTTCCTCCGAAACCCCTGCCCTGAACCCCTGAACCTCCAAACCCCTATGCCAGGCATGCAGCTATCAGACGCACTGGTCTTCCGACACTACAACCCCAAACTTGCCAAGTCGATGGAGCTGTAAGCAGCGCCCTCGGTGTTTGGGGTTGAGGGCTCAGGGTCTTAGGACTTGGCTAAAGGTTTGGTTCGGGTTCCATAGGTTTACTATGTGACAGGTTAGTTGGGGCTCTGTAGGTTTTGTGCCGCTTTGTTCTGGGATTTAGGATTCTATCTGGTTCGCGGTCCAGGTTCAGGGATCGCGGTACAACCAGGGCTCCATACTAGGTTGATAGGCTTGCTTACTATGCTCTTAAGTCACGGGGGTCGAAACGGAGGCGGGGGTGGGGTAACTCTATAGTACTCCGCCTTTTGCTTGGCGCACAGGGAGCCAGCTCTGCTTCTGCTGGAGCTCTGCGGCAGCGCGCAGTCGCCGTCGCGCCGCTTTGGGCACTGACTGCGCCAAACGTTGGGCCAAGCTCGCTGGATAGCATAGCGCTCGAAAGCATGGGCTGCGCAAACCATGGAGACACTCCAAGCGACGAAGGCGACGAAGGCTGCCGTGAAGTGCCCTGGCCCTTGAGCCTGTCGTGCTTCATGTGCTGGTGCAGCCTCGAACCCTCTACAGATTCCACTGGGGACGGTCCTTTCAGTCAGCTCATCTCTCTTCGTGTCGCCACGGGCTGCGCAGCTTCCTTTTATGTCCGCGCCAAGCTCAGAAGCCGGGCTGGTTCATGTTCCTGACTAATCCAAGGGTATCCTGGGGCCTGTCCGCAACGTTCCTTTGGTATCCTCTCCAAGGCCCTCGTTTACTTTTCCGGTTTGAAATCAACTGTCACTGCTCAAGCTCCCTTACCATAGATAGAGAAACTCGATAAGGAGTCCCACTTTTCAACAGACCCCCAGAAGGAAACCTAAACACCCCCCACCTAATCGTGGCATTCTGCTAGGCTGACCTGACACTCGCCGAAGCGCTGCAAGATGCAGCGTGACGGTGCCGACGCGTGAGGCTTGCACGGTGGCCTGTCTTTGCCACCCCAAAACCTTCAAAAGCTTCGAGGTTAAAGGGATGGATTTTGGGGCTTTGGGGGGGGGCTTTCAGGCCCCGAGCTTCTCGACGAAGTTGGCTCTAGGCCGCCAGGGATCTGCAATGCACCGGATCATCCCGGTCTCTGCTCCAAGGGATGTCAAATGTCGGGTGACGATCTCCCCAACATTTCCGGGCCGTAGCTTGCTAGTTAAAGTAGGGTTCTGGGTTGCAGGGTTTGGGGCCAGACTCAGGCTTGGGGAGCTTGGTGCGTGGAGACCAGGAGGATGCCAGGAGGTAAGGTGTTCATGCACATGAGCCACACCCTCGCAATGCTTTAGGTTATGCCAAGCGGAGTCTTTGGTCGATTCCTGAGTTGATGTTGTTCGAGAGTTCGAGTGTTGTGGAACATTAGGCATCAGGGTTTAGGGTTCGGGTATATCGCTGTCGAATTCTGCATGAACTCCGATCAAGATGGGTTGGCTCAGTCTTCCATGACGGCGGTGATGTCGCACCAAGTCAGGGCGGCAAAAGCGGCGATGCTCGGCAAGGGGTTCAAGAATTCTCCCTAAACCATCGGATCCCAGCCCTCTAAGAAAGCCTTTCAAAAGATCCCAACCTGAGAGGCGAATCTAGGGGCCAGCTGCTTCAAAGGATGGAACTGGCGTTAAGCCGTGAAGGCCCCTTAGCCCTAACATCCCCCAAACTTCCAAACAATTCAAGCTCGATTTGGTCAAAAAGTCTTCATGTCACAGGAATGGTCTTCGGAGTGCCGATTGATGTGCAGCCGGTGCACAGCTCATGCAAGTCGCTGTAGAGATCCATGAAAGACCACTCAAGAGGACAATGACGCCGCAGGATTCGCCGGTACGTGCCCACAGCTTGACATCACCCACACCTGAGCCCTGACCCCCAACAACCCCAAAGTAATTGTTCGACTGATGCAGCAGGGTTTGGGGCTTAGGGTAGTCGAGCCGCCTCAGAATGTCGCCTGATGGCGGCGTGGCGACAGGCCCTGGGCAGTCAACAGAGAGGGGGTGCGTAGAGGGCCTGGGGACTCTCAACTTACGAAAGTTTCAGCTTCAGGCCTCTAGAATCATGCCCTGGGCTTCGAGTTTGTTGCTTTGATGGAGCAGGCAACTTTCCGCAATTCTGTCACGCTTGAAAGCCTTTAAACCTTGCTCACGAGGCGTATCCTGGTAGTGTTGTTGGGGGTGAGGGGGTGCAAGAATGGAAGGGCAGTGTACGTCAACCTCTATTGAGAGTGAGTCGGGGCGGGAATTGTTCAAGACGACTGGAGAGGACCATGCTAATCAGCATGTATCGTTCAACCTGATGCCGGCTGACCGCCTTCAGTGGGACCTGGTCAGGTTAAACTGTTTGCAGGGATGCGTGAGTTGGGTGCAGTGGCCATGACATGGAGTTGCGGAAGTTTCAATCCCACGCTGCAAGAAGAGCCCTCAAACTGAGCTTTAAACGAGCACACGCCAAGCATAGCTTCTAAACCCCCCGAAAGAGTCCCCACAAGGAGAGCCCCCAGAGTCAGGTTTAGTGCCAGGGTCTGCGGTCTACGCCGCTGAACACCTGACGGCTCGGCTCTCAGATTCGTTTCAGGGGGGGGGATCATGGGGGAATCTTGGGGGGTTGCCAGGGTTGCTGTTGGTTAGGGGTTAGGGGTTAGGGTTTGAGGTTTAGGGTCGGTTTCGGGTTTTGGGCTTGGGGTCTACAGGAACTAGGGTTTTTTTGGGAATGTTTAACCAACACTCTCTAACATCGGAAAGTAGGCCCAGTCGAAGCTCTCGCAGTTTGCAGATCCCTTGCCCTGGCGTCCCTCCCGACCCTCCTCCCTCCCAAAAAAAGGAAGGGCCTAGTACCCTAGTCAGCAGTAGCAGCTTCGCCGCACAATGCACAGACAATCTGAAGCGTCCCGTGGGCAGGTGCAGGGAGGACGTATCGCTGTTCGTTTTGGCGCGCCAGGGGTCATCGAAGAGATACAGGCCGAAACCCCGAAACCCCAAACCCTAAACCCTAAGCAACGATCCTTATGCTTTGGCCCTAGATTGGGGGTCTGTGAAGGCACAAACCTGCGAAAATCCCGATGTTTCGGCCCTAGATTGGGGGTATGGTGAAGGCCCAAAATCGTTCAAGCTGCGAAGGCCTTAACCGAAGCACGTCAAATGAGTGACAATCTCTTGTTTTGGCCCTCGGTTGGGAGCTGTGAATCAATGCCCAAAAGGGTAAACAATCACAAAGACTGGCTATTGGGGCTCCTCAAACGTGTTGTGGGTCTGTGAATGCCGAACGATCAAAAGCCATGAGAAGTTCGTTTTTCTGTTTGGCATGGGCTGTGGTGCATGGTGGAAGGCATACAAGTTCTATTTTTCATATGGGTCTTGAGGGTTTAGGGTGCAATCATGGGCAATTATAGGGTCTGTGGGGTTCAGGATTGGGATGTTCCCCTTATACCAACAGTCCTTAATGAGGATTATAGTAGTGGGTACTAGAGACCCTATTACGGACTGTTAGCATAAGGGGGAACCTTCCAAGTTCGGAGTTTATAAGGGTTTTTGGGATCAAGCCCCAGAGCTACGGCTGCGAGGAGAGTAGCGGCCAGTTCATCGTCACCTTTGCGGAGTCTCTTCCGCCAGGTCAGAAGTTTGCAGTTGCCTGGACAAGGTTTAGGGTTTAGGGTTTAGGGTTTAGGGTCTAGGGTTTAGGGTTTAGGGTTTAGGGTCTAGGATTCAGGGTTTAGGGCTTAGGGTTCAGCGTTTAGAGTTGAAAAGTTTACAGACTGTAGGGTCTGGGACAGGGCAGGGGCCATTTGGGGTTTTCAGAGTTTATGGTTTTTCTGGGGCTTATGGCGCTGAGGGGTGTAGAGTTACGGTTTGGGTTCACAAGGGTTGGGGGTTGAAGCCTGGAGTGTTTAGGGTTTGTCGACTTCAGGGTTTAGGGTTCAGGGTTGTTTAGGGGTCGAGTGTAGTTGAATCCTTTAAGGTTGCGGAGATAGGGGTGGGATCCAAAAACAAGGGACCAGATTTAGCAGGTCAGTGGACCGCCCCTAAACCATGAAAACCCTTGAGTTCTGAGAGTGCCCGAGTCGGGCGGCACAACTTGAGCTGGGCAAAGACAGCTACAAATGCTGAGCAACCTAAACCCAAAACCCTAAACCCTAAACGCCCTAGTGACTTTGAAGCCTGAGAACAATCTAGGGTTTCGGTGTGGCCCTGAGGGTTACACTCCCCCAGCAGCCAAGCGAGGTTTCTGCCACGCAGCTGCTACTCACTGCACCCTACCGTCAGGGCCAGTGCCTTCACTGAGATTATGGGCCCCCCCGCTGCGACTCCCTGCAGTCCATTGGTGCTTGAGCCCTGTGAACCATTCAATGCATGGGTGCCTGAGCCCTCTGCCGAACCTTGCCTGCAAGGTGGCTGCAGCTCACCAGCGATATCACCTTCAGGACCATTCCCCGGCTGGTTCAGAGTTTAAGGCTCTTTGCGGGTTTGTGGGCTGCATGGGTTTAGGTGTTAGGGGCGCAGGGTCTAGTCTATCAGGGTTTGCGGGTTGTGGGGCTGATAAGGGCTTAGGACTTAGCACCAGCTCCTCCTACCTCTGCGTCAATCAGCTGGGCGCCTAAGGCTTGTCGAGCGTGTGGGGGTTTCTAGACTTAGACTAGTTCCCGAAGTTGCAGACCTAGCAGTAGTAAGCAGGGGAAATAGTTGCACTTGCAATAGTTATAATATCTCAATAAAATATAAATGATGTCTATACAGGAGCAAGCGCGTTCTGCGTGCCGGGCAGCCGTGTGTTGTCCGCGACGTTCGATGCGGCAGCCCGGCGTGAATGGCAACCTTGCACCGAGGGATATGGTGGTTCTCTACCCCGCTGAGGATGACAGTGCTTCCTTCCTCTCAACCCCATACCCATCAACGAAGCCACTAGCCCGGTGCCTGAGGTGTTTTTGAGCGTTTAATCACGTGGCATTCAGCGAGCGGGCCATGGTGGTGATACTGGATTCGTGGGCTGGATTCGTGGGCTGGGGCTGAGTCCCTGAGCCCATACCCCCACTGGCACCCTCAGCAATCCTTTTTCCCAGACGAACAAGTAACTAACGAGTGTTCCCTATAGGCTTTTGCAGTGTTTGAGGGCTTTTGTTCACGTATTCTTGGAGAGACCCTTAATTCAACTACCCTAGGTAAACATCAGACATGCATCTTCACATGTGATGCTAAATCCTGACTAGCACGGTCAGCACGGTCACCCGGAATTGTGTTGTTTCTTCCCAGAATTATTCAGCAGGAAACTGTGTCAAGCTTCTCGGACCATGCGAACATGCAACCAAGAACGAATAAACTTCTCCCGGTGGGCAGGGAGGGGACTAGAGGTGGGTACCCGCTTTACGGCTGTAGTTGCCCAGTAGGACACCAAGGCTCTGCTACTCCCTTGGTGGTTCGCATGGCCCCAGTGGCGGCCGTCGATGCCTTTGATCTCAGCGTCCCCTGGCACGCACCTGGGGTGGCCTTTTGGGAAGGCTAAACGCTAAGGGTTAAGAACAGTGCTTCAGGGTTAGGGCTTTCGGTTTCGGTTTGAGGGCAAAGGGTAGCAACCCAAAAGGCTAGCCAACACACAAGCATCAAGGATCGCATATCCTGTGCCCTAAGTCCTTCCAAGTCGCACACCTGCAAGCGCAGACCTGAGAACCCATGAGGCAGGTTCAGGAATTTAAGGTTTAAGGAGTGGTTTAGGGTTTGGGGTTGAGGGTTTTGGCTGTTAGACATAAACAGGGTATCAAGACATGGTCCTAAAGCTACTGGTGGCTAAACAAAGCGCTAACACAGATACACGTGGCCTGCGGCTTCAATCCACGCAACTTTGGGTCACGTGCTTGTGTTCCAAGATAATTCGAGTCGGTGTTCCCGTAAACTGATGAATAATCCGCTGCGGGGGAAGGCTGAGGTTTCGGCGTGGGTATGTGGAGGGGCTGGCGGCAGGTTTATTCTGGGTCAACTCTAAACCTTCAAACAGTCAAGTGCCATGCAGCCTGATCCCAAAATCCTAAACCCTAAACCTTCAGCCCTAAGCCCTAGACCCCTAAAGTCGTGAGCCATCCAAGCCGAGCCCCCCCCCCCCCCCCCCCGAAGCAGGTCAGCCTCGAAGACGTTGAAGACTTAGTGGGCCTTCCCGCGAACTTCAGCACCTTGCATCCAGAGGGCTCAAGTTTTCAGAGGCGTAGAGCTCAGGGTCCCGGGATTGGAAAGCCAGCGCTTTGGGTCTATGGGATGTCAGGTTGCCATTGCTGTTGTTGCTGTTCTTGCTGTTCTTGCTGTTGTTGCTGTCTTGCTGTCGAGGTTGCTGTCCGTCTATTCTTCTGGGCGTTAGTCTTGTTGTTGGTGCTGTTGCCGCGGCCGATAGTTCTTCTGGCGCTGTTGTTGCTTCTGTAGCTCGCTGCCGCTTCCGCAGCCGCCGCCGCTGCTGCTGCTGTGGTGTTGTTTTGTTGTATTGTCGGGTGGATGCATTGCTGTGTTGTCGTCTTGTTGTGTGTTGTTGTGCTGGCACGCTTGTTGTGATTGTGAGTTGTCGCGTTGGTGCCTTGTTGTGTTGCGTTGTTGTGTCGTTGGGATGTTGTCGTTGTCGTTCTTGTGGTGGGGCGGGGTGGGGCGGAGCGGTGCGGGGCGCGGCGCTGCACGGCGTGTTCCATCATGTCCTTCACCAGTGTCAAGCGGGGCTGGCCATTGAATCAAGGCATGTTGTTAGGTTGTATTTTCTACGCGCTCCATGCTCCTCTCATTGAGGTAACTCGTGCGGTGCGCTGCCTGAGGGCTTCGCTCCGGCGGATGTTGTTTTTGCGACCGCCGATATTGCGGTGCAGGCAGGAGGGAATCTACCTGCAAGAGGTCGCTGTGCAGAACTTCTACTGTAGAGCTATTGCTTGTAATTAATGTTTCAAATCGATATCAAAGCAGGATGCGCGCACCATGAACTCAGCACGGAATAGACACGTGTGCAGAGTTCCTGACATGCACATGTGTCCAAGCAGACAGCCAAAAGCAAGCGAGAAACGCTGGGTGTTGATGCTTGTATACAGACCAAACTTTTGGGATACAAGTGTGAGTCAAGGTCAGGTTGGACAGCTGCTATCCTGACGGCAGTGTATGTCATTTGTTAGACGTGGCAGCGCGTACGAGGTCCTAGGTTAAACCCCAAACCCGAAGTCCTTTCGAGGTCCCGATTCTGATATAGCTTAGGGTGCCAAAACGGGCCCATGATTTGATCACGGTTACGGTTTCTGTTATGGTCTCACTATTGCTACTACTATGTCTATTGCTGTCTATTACTTGCAATTCTTTCTGACTCTGCTCCATCAATTATTCTTTTCATCGTTGTTATTGCTATGTGGATGACTGCTACAATTATACAATTGCTTATCTCGTGTGTGTGTGTGTACGGATGGTAATTCTCGGCCCTAGAGCAAGCTCCTTGGCCCAGGGCCCATCAGGTCCGACCATTGCCATTGGTGTGGGGGATATAGGCCGGGACGACAGACAGAACAGCTTTTTGGGGGTGAACGGTTTTAGGGTTCAGGAGGTTGAAATGGGTCTGGGCGTTCGAATGGGGTTTTGGTGTTTATAGGGTTTAAGGGCTTCAGGGTAAGATGGGCCCTGTTTTTTGTTTTTGTTATTTCTCTCTGGTTTTGTTCTTGTCCCTATCAGTTCAATCCACTTCCAAGTGCCCTTATTCATTCCTGGGTTTCTCACATAGAAAAAGTGTCTTGCCTGATGTACAGGATGCTGTCATGGAAGGAAGGGGATTTTTCCTCTGGGCTGACCGGGTTTAGAGTTTAGGGCTCTTGCTCAGTCACCAAGTAGATGACATTCAGATGACTGGAGGTCCGTTTCCTTCATCCCGCTAACGCAGGAAGGGCTTGACCGTGCCTCGCATCACATCGTGCTGACACAGTTTCGTTGTCAATGGGTCTGGGTGATGTCCCGAGCCGAAGCCACTACGGGTGCGGGTTCCTAGCTTTCGGGGGCCATGAAACCGACTTGGCCCACTCTACTCTTTGCAAAATCCCCGGTGCCACCTTGTCTGTGTCTTGGCTGCGGTCCAGAGGGCGCTTGTTTCTTGCGTTTTCTCCCACAGTCCTGAATAGGGATTATAGTTGGGGGGTACTTTATAATCATTATAATCCCTCTTAAGGACTGTTAGGATAAGGAACATCCCAACTTGTCACCCTATTCCCATGGGGGCGTTTTTCTTCCACAGTTCTTGCGCAATCGCTGGGCGAGGCATGGTGTTTGGAGAGCCCACTACTGCCGAAGCACGTCGCAAAGGACACTTTTGCTTGCAAACTCAAATAGAGCCCCGGTGGCCTACCAGACTGCTGGGACTGCAGATCCTGGATCTTGAATCTAGTGAAACTCGCTCGTTTCTGGAGCGTCGGAGTCCTTGCGCCGCAATTGTCTTGGTTGGTGCACCCTAAACCCTAAACCCTAAACCCTAAACCCTAAACCCTAAACCCTAAACCCTAAACCCTAAACCCTCCAAGCATTTCCCGCTACCTGCGCCAGCCCTGTCCTTTGGGAGCCCCTCTCTGAGAAGCCCCCCAGCTGCCGCGCGTGTTCTTTGGACTCAGAGCTGAGGCCCGCCCAAGAAGGCCCGAAGCCCTTTTTCAGCGCGTCTAAACCTGGAACCCTCCAAACCCAAAATGCCGGGTTTAGGGATGAGGGTTAAGGGAGCTAGGGTTTCGGAGGTTGAGGGTTTGGAGTTAAGGGTTCTCAACAACACCCTGCACAAGCCCATGGATTCCAGGAGAGGTGTTGGTGCGCTTCGAGGCCCGACAGGCCCTCGGGTTTGAAGGCTTCGGGCTTCGGGTTTCGGGAAGTAGGAGTCGAGGAGCCCCAAAGACACCCTAGGGCCCCCAAGGCCCTACAGCCCCTGATGTTCGACCCTGCAGGGTTGGGCACCCAGCTTGAGTGTGTTTCAAGTCGCAGGAAACCAGCACTCTCAAACCCAAACCCAGAGGGCTCTGCACTGCAAGACCTAAGCCCCTGCCCCTAAGCCCATGAGCCAAATGTGCTCAAGCTGGCAGGACCAAGGCAACCCCGTGTTCCTGAGTGCAGCCTGCCCAAGACTGTGTGATGTGATCGCGGGGGGTTTAAACTTCTGGTATCCCCTTCTTTGAAGACAATACATTTACTGGGAGGGTGGAGGGGGGTGGGGGAGTTACATAGTCTCATGTAGACACCCGTGGTTTAGTGGTTGAGGATGTCACGGACCATGCCTGCGTTTTCGGGTATGGGTTTGAGGCTTAGGGTTTAGGGTTGAGGGTGTTGGTTTAGGGTTTAGCGCATTGGCATGGTTTGAGCTTCGGATGGAGGGTATTCTCCAACGGGGTGGGTGCATGGGGGGTCGTGGGGGTAGGGGTCATAAAAGTAGAGAGGGTCATGACGAACCAAAGATATTGGCATTGACTTGTGCAGCAAATAAGTAGATGAGGTATCTGTGCAGGTCTCGAGAAAGTGCGAAGGCAAAGCAATTGGCAAAGAGTACAGAGCGGGCCAAGGGAACGTATAATCTGCCACCCTTACAGACAAACATGGGTTTTCCCTACTGCCCCCCTCCCCCCCCCATACTACCCCCACTAGGTTCCCCCTGAAATAACTTTAATTAGGCTTCATTATCCCTGAATAGCCTTCATGGGGGGGGGGGGGGGGTAGCCCTAAACCCTAAACCCTAAAACCCCAAGCCCTAAACCCTAAACCCTAAAACCCTAAACCCTAAACCCCCTAAACCCTAAACCCTAAAACCCTAAACCCTAAAACCCTAAACCCTAAATAGCCTCGCCTTGAGCCCATACGCAGTGCAGGTGCAGGCCAAGTCCCTCTCCCGAAGCCCGCTGTTCAGTTGTGGAAGCGAGCCGAGGCCCACTCATGTTGAGGAGATGGGGGCGTAGGGTTTAGGGTTTAGGGTTTAGGGCTTAGGGTTTTAGGGTTTAGGGTTTAGGGTCTTGTAAGTGGGGGCTGGCAATATGAACTCATACAGGACAGCTGATGCTGGCAGCATGTAGGCTCCCTCTGATGATGAAGTTTGGGGGAATCTTGCTCTTCTGGCTTGACACAATCTACATCGCCTTGTAACCATGCTGCTGCCCTGCTGCCTCTCCTCCCGCTGGGATTGTTCTACAGTCCTGACCCTAATCCCTACACAAAGGGGCCATTGAAGGAGCGTGGCAGCTTCGGTTTGGCTTGGAATTCTTGGGCCTCACCAGGGTTGGGGTTTAGGGATGGTATAGGCGCTGGCAATGAGTTCTTTGGGTTTATGGGGTTAGCGCTTGTGTTGTTGGGGAGGGGTTCGGGGGTTTGTAGGGTTCATAGGGTTTGTAAGGCTTACCGGGTTTGTGGTCAACTGAGGTTCATTGTATGGTTCATGGGGGGTTTGTCGAGTTTGATAGAGGGCTTGGGTGTCTGGGGTTTAGCCTTTGCGGTTTGCTTGATCCTAGAAACACATGTCCCAGCTCCTGCTTGGCTGCCCCTGCACCCTGCTACTGGAGTTTGATCCTGTGTCAGGTAAAGAAGCCGCTCCAGTTCCCAGACGGATTTGTTGCTTGGCTACACCTATACAAACACTCAAAAGCCCATAAACAAACCTGAAAGCCAGCGACTTCTCGTGGGTTCACTTGTTCGCTGATGGCTTGAGCAGGCCGAGGCCACCGAAAAGCCTGCATCCTTTCGCCAAACTCTATGTATTTCAAAGGAACCCTTAAACCCTAGAAGGGTCGAGGAGGCTCTCCCCTTTAGGCAAGACTTTTTTTTGCTCCGAATTCTTCTGACAGCAACTGAATGTTCTTCTTCTTGTTTTCGCATTCGCGTTTGTATGAGTATCTCCTGCAGTGCCGGTGTGTGGAGGTCGCCGATGTGGGCTCCATCGGCGTCGTTGTGCAAAGCCTTGCAGACGGCCACGCCGCAACCTGCCCAACATGATTTCCGCTCCTGCGGTCACTGTGGGGCCAAGCATTTGGAGCACATGTTCCCTCATGAATCCCCCAAGCTTCAGGCTTCAGACATCAAGAGTTGCCAACGCTAGAATCGTCATTTGGAGGCTTATTTCCTCAAAATTGAACAGAGTCTCATGCTTTTTGCGGATCGCCTGGGGCAGGTGTTTCAGACACGAGCTCCATCCCCGAACAACCCCCCGCCCCCCGAATCGTTTGAGCTTCCCAGGGAGAAGCGGGGGGGGGGGGGGGGTTGGGGGCGAGGCCGACGTGGTACAGATCCATGATGGCCAGAAGGCACCCAGCTCGGGCTGTGACTCTTCCTGGACCCTAAGCCAGGGGTGCGGTTTCAGGGATTTGGGGGGGAGCTTTCAAAAGGTGTATGGGCCCTGCGATCATAGCGACGGGTGCGACTTGCCGTCGATGGCACAGCGATGAGTTCTTAGGCTTCAGTGCGTAAAGGTGCTAAAGCCAAATGCACATCCGAGCAAGAACTCGAAGAAATATCCGCGTCTGATGATTTTCTTGCTTAAAAAGGTGCGAACCCATGATCGGCCAGGAGAAGAGCTTCCAGCGGTTGCCGGACACCGTTTCCCTTCTCGGCGAGTCCAAGGCAAATCCCTGCAGCACGTTGGGGATGGGAACTGCTCGCAAGGGAGATGCAGATTCAGAGGCCAGCAGCCTAGACTTAGAAGTCGTGGGGAGGGGAGAGGGGGGTACCGCAGCCACTGCTAACCTAGAAAGATCTGGCTCCGTCTCGGGTAGCTAAAACTTGGCAACCAACGCAAGGCATCTCTCTGCTTTCTTGGATCAGATCAGACTTGCAAGATTCTTTCAGCTTGAAATCCGAACCGTGGCTCCCTTACTCAACCCGAACCTTGGATCCCTTTTGGATCCCTTGGGCCCCGTAAGCCTAAACCCTGTTGCGCTGCTCTCCCTTCCCACCCTGCTCTTGCAGTTGGCGCCCGAGGACCTCGAGGCTGGGTCCAGGAGTTTCGGGTTCAGGGTTTTTGGGTTTTAGGGTTGTAGGGTTTTGAGGGTTTTGAGGGTTTTTGGGGCTTAGGGTGTTGGGGGATTGCCACTCTAGGTTGAAAAGGTTGAGCTGCCACTTCCTACAGATTTTCGAGTCCTAAACCCTAAGCCCTAAACCCTAAACCCTAAGCCCTAAGCCCTGAGCCCTAAGCCCTAAACCCTAAACCCTAAATAACTTAAATAACCCTGAACCCTTGGGTGTCCTTTGCCAAGCCGAACAACTCCAAGCCCAAAGCGACACCCACGAGCAATCACCACGGGCTTGCCCGGCATGAGGCAAACCACGGCCACTGCAAGTAACTTAGGGGTCGGGGTTGGAAGAATTTCTAATGGCATTCCCTTATGGTCCCTATATAACTATACAAATATATACCCCCAAAAAAACATCATAATAATAATAATAACAACCGTTCTAGTTATTATGGCCCCGTAGTAACCTTCAGGCGTCCACGGGGTTTAGGGCGTAGGTTTTGGGGGTCAGGGATTCCCTCCGCCAAGCGCGAGAAACGTGGTTTCCCCAGCGCGAGGCCTGAGCAGAGAGCTGCACTGAGAGGAAGCTATACGGTTTCAGGGCTGAAGGCTAGGTGCTAGGCTAAATCCGAAATCCTACAAACCCTAAACCCTAAGAACAAAACCCTAAACCCTAAACCCTAAACCCTAAATCCTCAGCCCTCAACCCTCAACCCTCAACCCAAAGCCCAAAACCCAAAACCCAAATCCTACAAGGTTCGGCTGAGGGAGCTTGAGACCCTTGCGACCCTCTTTGATGCAGCTGGCAAACATGGCAGGAGCTTGGCTGGTTCTCAGCTCCAAACCCTGAAACTTAGAAGCCTGAAATTCCTGCACCCCCTAAACCCCATACAGCCCAAATTGCCCTAGACCTCCTAAATCCACCTCAAAACCAAAAACAACCCCAACAAAACCCATAAAGCCCCATCAAACCCCACAAGCCCCCATATAAACCACCCCCCCCCCCAGGACCGTCTCCATGCTGGAGGCGAACCTGTGGGCCGCCTGCGGCATGGGCAGCGGCATCAACCTCTCCTTCCTGGCGCACCAGAACCTGGGCCGGGGTTAGGGGTTTAGGGTTTCGGGTTTAGGGTGTAGTGTTTAGGGTTTAGGGTTTAGGGTTTAGGGTTTCGGGTTTAGGGTGTAGTGTTTAGGGTTTAGGGTTTAGGGCCTGGCTGGCGCTAGGGGGGCTTCAGGTGATTTTGGGGGAAGTTTGGGAGGGGGCTGGATTTTGGGGGGATTTTGGGGGGGGATTTTGGGTTTGGAGTTTAGGGTTTCGGGATTTGGGGTTTGGGGTTTAGGGTTTGGGGTTCAGGGTTTGGGGAGATTTTGGGTTTGGGGAAGAAGGGCAGCAGGAGGGTGTGAAGGTGAAAGAGGGTTCGGGCTTTAGGGTTCAATGTTGTGAGCTCCTAGGATGCTTTAGAGGGGCTTTCAGGGGTTGCAGGGGTTTCTGAGGGTTCATGTAGATGTTGGGGCCCGCAGCACTGGAGCCAAAATCCCAGGACTTTCGGCTAAACACCATCTTCAACCTATATACTGCCTAGACCGTAAACCTTAATCCTAAACCCTAATCCCAATCTCTAAACCCTAAACCTAAACCCGCAGCAAGGAGCAAGTGGCCGCGCTTGGGTACCTTGCCCTCCGGCCCAATGAGATGGTCATTCATAATGGGCGTCTCTCATACTAGGGGGTACCCCTAGCAGACACCAACATTATCTGCTTCCTGATGATGGGAATCCACCCCCTAAACCCTAAACCCCAAACCCAAACCCTAAACCTTACCCCCCCCCCCCCCCCAAAGAAACAGAATGGCCAAGAGCAGTTCAGCAGTTGAAGCCTAGCTGGGCACCGTCAAAATAGTTCGTTCCCACGGTTCGGAACGGTTCCCTAAACCCTATACCCTAAGAGTCCCTGAGTTTCCCCTAAGGTTATGGGGCTCGTCGGACTTCGGGCATTTAGGGCTTACAAGGTTTAAGGCTTCGGGTGTGTAGGGTTCATGCGGTTTGGGGTGTTCGCCACCTCCAGTTCCAATCGCGCGTCTCAACACCTCATTCCCCGAACCGACCGGGAAAGCCCAAAACCCCCAGGATCTGTGGATCCCTAATCCCTAAACAACCCTACAAACCCCAAACCCTAAACCCCAAACCCCAAACCCTAAACCCCAAACCCTAAACCCCAAACCCTAAACCCTAAACCCTAAACCCTAAACCCTAAACCCTAAACCCAAACCCCAAACCCTAAACCCTAAACCCTAAACCCAAAGGTCGGCAGACGGGAAGTGCCTGACACTGAAGACGACCTCGGCGGAGGGGATGGATGGCACCCTGGGCGGCGAGTCAAAGGCCTCCCTTTTCTTCCGGGCTTCGGTTTTTTTTTAGGGTTAGGGTTTAGGGTTTAGGGTTTAGGGTTTAGGGTTTAGGGTTTAGGGTTTAGGGTTTTTAGGGTTTAGGGTTTAGGGTTTAGGGTTTAGGGTTTAGGGTTTAGGGTTTAGGGTTTAGGGTTTAGGGTTTAGGGTTTAGGGTTTAGGGCTTAGGGCTTAGGGCTTAGGGTTTAGGGTTTAGGGTTTAGGGTTTAGGGTGGACTTTCGTATTTATTTATTCTTTTTGTGTTGGCCGGGGGGGGGGGGGGTGCATGGGGCTTTAGGGTTTGTGGCTTCAGGCTGAGGTTTTTCTCTTTCCTTGCCTGTCGGAACTACCCCACGTCCGGCTTCTAGGGAAGAGCCTTCTTTCGTACGTCCAAACTCTATAACGTCCTGCAATAATTAATAATCCTGTAAACCCGCAGGGTTTAGGGTTTAGGTTTAGGGCTTAGGGGAGCCCCAAAAACCCTGAGCCCAATACCCGAAACCTTCAGCCCAAATCTACGCTTTCGATGTAGCTATGCGAGTTGCAGGTTCGCTTTGACCACGAGGCCTTGATCCACGATGCGACCCGATGCTCGGATCTTTGCTCGAGGTCGCCGGGGTGTAGGGTTCAGGTTTTTGAGGGTTTTAAGGGTTTAGGGTTCAGGTACTTAGGGTTTAGGTTCGGTTATTCGGGTTGAAGGGCTTAGGTTGACGGGTTTAGGGTTTAATCGTCCTGTTCATTTGCACGCGATAAGGCTTTAGGAACCCTGACCCCAAAACCCTATCACGACACCGTGTGGGGAAGGAGCGATCCGCCTCTTGGTACAGGCGGACTGCCGGTTCACTCAGCGACGGTAACCCCAAAGGCATCCGGCCATAAACCCTACACCCGTAAAGCCTAAGCCCTTAAATCTAGCGCTTCGAGCCCGAAAGCCCCATGTCGTTACCGCAAGCTGACATCAGGAGTCGACCCCTACGCGGCAGCAATCCGAGCAGCTGCAAACGGCAAAGTTGTGCTGGACATAGGCCGGGACCCGACAAACAGACTCGCGACCTGGTCAGCTCTTTAGCTGCGCTGCTGCAAACTCTATAATCCTTACAAACCCTGGAAACCCGCAAACCCTGTAAACCCTGCAAACCTTAAACCTTAAGACGAACCGAGCGATCCTGGCAGGAACCGGCCCCGTTTGCTTCCTGGCGCGGCTTTGCCTCCGCGCCGGCGCGCGGGCTGCTGACGCTGTGGAGACCGTCTTTCTTTAGGGCTTCATTAGGGCTTAGGGTTTAGGGTTTAGGGCTTAGGGCTTAGGGCGTAGGGCGTAGGGCTTAGGGTTTAGGGTTTAGGGTTTAGGGCCAATCAAGCTAAGCTTCCGAGACGAAGCCACATGGGCCCAGCTGCTTGGTTCTTCTGGGTCCAGAGTCTCCGCTCGTCTTGACATGCCTTGTATCCTTTCACTTGTAGGTTTTTGTGTTGCATTGTTCCTGTGTCTATCAAGCCGTAGTGGAGCAGAGTTGTGCAGCAGATCTGAGCAAGCCGAAAGCACTAGCCAATATTTCGCTCTCCATTCTCGGGAGCCGCAACCTGAACCAGAATTAGCATGCTCTTAGTCAGTCTGACTGGTACAGCTATCCAAAAACATATGACCAGCACTAGTAGTATAACTTGTAGAATTCACAATATTACTTCGTATACTTCATAGAGCTCGTACTATCCGTCGAGCCTAGGCCCTAGGCTGCCACTCAACTCCCCAGTTTCGGAGCCTACTTGAAGGGCTAGGAACTGGCTTTGAGGTTCCTGAAGATCCTGGGGTTTAGGGTTTAGTGTTTAGGGTTCGGGGTTTAGGGTTTAGGGTTTAGGGTGCGTTCGAAGTCCCCCAAGCCTGAAAACACTAAACCGCAGGAGAGCAACACCAGCTCCGTTGAGAAGGCTATCGCGACCTTCGAGGCGGAGGCCCCCGTTGTCTACGTAGTCAAAGGCCGATATGCTAAACTAGTCGAGTCTTGTCCAGTTTCAGTCAATATATATATATATGTGTGTATATGTGTATATATATATATATGTATGTGTATATAGTATGTGTATATACATAGATAGACATACTGATCTAGTTTACTAAGCACAAAATTTGAAGGTATGTAGACACATATATGTACACACACATATATGTATATAAAATGGGCCCATGCATATACCCAGGAGCATGAAGTGCCGTGCGCCCACGCGCCGCAAAGGCTCGACAGGAGCCGGGCGGCACTGGCCGCATCCTTCCCTCCTGGGCAGCGCAGCTCGGCAGAGACCTTCAGCTTCCTGGGCTTACAGGGTTTTAGGGTTTATAGGGTTAAGGGTTTATAGGGTTGAGGGTTTAGGGTTACAGGGTTTTAGGGGGTTTATAGGGTTCCTAGTGTCAGCGGCTAGAAAGCAAGCACCATGTGGAACTCACAAAGGACTTAACGTGTTTCATACTTCTACGGTCATGTCGTGCAGATTTAGTGCCTTAATCAATTTTCACGGTCTGAAAAACCCTATGAATCTCCACGAT